AAGTTAAAAGGCCTCGAGCCAACAGTGACGCCGCGCCAGAAGGATCCAAAAGGATTCACAGTCCAAACCTCGATAAATGGTAGGAGAAGTAGTGTGGCACACGAGGACGGACAACTTCGAGCGAAGGAAGACATATACTCAATAAAAAGTTTAAAATGTTTAATAAAAAGCGTTTCGGTCCGAAACCTTCATCAGTTGTAATACAATGACTTAAAAATTCCTTAAATAGATTTATATAGGGCGTGATGACTATATATATTGGTAGAACAAAAACGGCTAACGAAGACTTCTCGAAATTTCCTCTCTAGTTCATTTTACTTCTTGTTTTCCTTAGGCACTGATGCTTTCAAAGAGGAAAGTTAAAGTGAAAAACTTAAGAAGACCTTCCAGCTCGTCTCGTCCTCCTTCAAGCCCCAGCGCAACGAGAACTATTTTTTATAACGATTAAACAGAATTTTCCCGGGTCTTTTCTCACGGAAGAAAATAATCTTACATATAAAAGGGGCTGAAAGTTATAGCCGCTTCATTAGAAACTATATTGAAGATTTGTACCAGCTCTGATTTATATTTAACTTGTTTATCTTGCAAAGTTTATCTATTAAGGTATTGTTTCAGCCGAGAAAATGCAATTTTAAATTTTGAAGAAAACTATTGTCATTTGTATTGCTCTGGGTGTACGCTGTCTTGCTGACGTCTGTAAATATAAATAGTTAAGACTAAAATAACTCTTCTTCAGGCGTTACCACTCGAACCTCTTCCGTGTAACTTGCCTTTCATGACAGAGCTTTATAACGAAATGTTACGTCACAGGTACGCGGTCAACAACGCGGGCTCAAGCATACGTAGTTTAAAATTTAGCGAAATTTGCGGAAAGAAAAAGGAGCAAGCATTTGAAACCAAGGCATTTTGTTGTCGTCGAAGACATCTTCCTATTTCCAAAGTTTTTAACGAGAAAAATTTGTTTGGAAAATATTTAAGGGGTGTACCAAGGTTTTGGAAGTTTTCTGTAAAACAAAAGCGGCCAGGAAAACGACGCCTAGAAGCAACAGAATTGAAAATCAACAAAGCAAACGACTCAAAATCATTTTTCCCGCGGGAAAATCTAGCGCGTGCGCATACGTTCTTCAGCTCTGTTACCATTTGTGCTTTTGGACTCCATTTCTAGCAAAGGACATAATACTTTCATTGACTTGGTATAAAGTAATTCAGAAACTGCGTCTCAGCCACACTGGGTCTTTCTCTACTCCGCTCGTAAAAGCGCAAAGCCGTCGTAGTCGACAATACGCGTTAAAGAACCAAACTCATACCATGCTATTCTACAGTCATGTCAAAAGTACAAATTAAAGTGATAAAAACCTCTGTCTTCAGGTGGAGTTCAAAGCTTAGCTTGCCCCACCAATTTATACAGAAAAGAACTGTGAACTTGAAGAGAATTTATGTTCGAATATGTTTTTAAATGAATGTTGTACTTGTAATTATGTGTACTAAAAAAGGTTAGCTGCTGAAGTATCCACTTTCAAACAAATAAACATTTGAGCCTTTAAATTTATTGGAATGGGTCATTATAAAAAAATAGATTAATGTAGTTGTGTTCCGAAGGAATTAAATTTGTGAAATAACCTTTTCATTGCATTTTTATTTTTGTTCTCTTTAGAGGCAAAGCGGTTGTTGGGCTCGGAGAAGAGAGGTGACGCCTTTCTTCGAATTAAGAAACATTCAAACTGAATAATTTATTAAAACGAATGTTCGACATTATGAGTAATTCAAGGCCATTTACCTATCCCCTCACCCAGGCCATTTACCTACCCCCTCACCCAGGTCATTTACCTACCCCCTCAGCCAGTGCGATCAAGGCTCGCTTAGGACAAGAGATACAGAAATCATTTTTGTATCAGTTCACTTTAAGACAGGCCATTGTTACACATAATCCATACTGTGGATGAAATTGAAGCGAGACTTCGAAACTTCCGAAAGGGTAAACCATGAACGGACTCATGTGTAAGGTCTTTCAGATGTTTTATTGAAGGCTTCGTTTTACAATAAATCTTAACTTGGTGTCATTTTCCTCTAAATGCCACTTTTGCTTCAAAGATATTCATTTTTTTTTTTGTGTTATGGTTAATATCAATAATAATGACGAATATGTTAAAAAAGTGACAGACGTCACTGCAACTCCCAATGATTTTAATGTTCGCAAACGAGTTATAAAAATTCTACAAATGAACTATTTAGATCATTTTTATTCTATAAAAAAATCTGTAACAACCGACGTCTTACCTGTTATATTTTCCTGTTATTCTTTTCTTTTTTTGTATACTTTCATCGGATTTATTCATTTAGTTTAATTTAATCTAAATGGCGTAAAACTCTCTCATGCCAGTTGTGGGAATGAACTATTCAAAATGTTCTTGTTACTCGTTACCCAAACATCTTTCTAATATATATTTTTTTTTATAATTTGCACTTATGACAAACGTCGAAACATTGCGGAAATGACGCCACTCTACCTTTAACTACCATAATGTTCTCGTGAGAGTTACAAAAATTCAAGAAATTAGCTACTCAGATCATTTCATATCTACCACTAGAAATCTTTTATAAGTAGCGTCTTTACCAGTAAGATTCTCAATTTTTCTGCATTTTTACCTTAGTTTGTGATTTTCAACTAAAGATACTTGTGAAATGAAACAATTTCACACGTATTCTGTAAGTAATGAACTATTTAGATTGGCAGCCTGATACCAAATATGTTGTGAATGATGTTTTGACCGGTACACTTGTCTAAGTCTTTCTTGTCAAATGTTAGATGATTCATCGTTCTCAACGATTAAAACGCAATCTGAGAGCGAATTACTCTTAAACGAGTTAAACAAAATTCTAGATATGAGCTATCTAAATCTTTGTTTTACTGATAAATCTCTGATAACTCTTACTAAAGCGCGTTGGTGTTTTACTATTGTGATCGCATCATTAGCCCTACTACACTACTACACTATGGTGTACAGAAACATGCTAAAAGTAACAGACTTAGAATATCAGGTAGACATACATGTTACATCCATAGCAAAACGAAACGAATATGGCCTGCCGCTACATGGCTACTCGGGTATCCTACCTACGTAACCAAGTGATGAAGAGTTCAGACAAGAAGCTTATTAACTAATGTAAACATCAAACCGATTAAAGAAACCGAAATTAAAACCATATTTCTGTGACTAAAATATTACCACAGACAATATATAGATTCCTACTCGAGAGTTATTTTTTCCTTTTCCTTGAATATTCTAATTTTTCTGTAGCCCTCGCGGTGTCCATAGTACTGGTAATGTTAAATGTCTGAGGCAAAGGGAAAAAGCACGCTTAATACAAATTCATTCATCGATCCGTTGGCTACTTGATTTACCGACCCGATAGTCAGTCGTTAGTCAGGTGTAATCGGCACCTTGATTAAGGCAGCGATAATACAAATCAGTTAGTCTGTAACCATACCCATTGGTCAGATGGACAGTCTGCCAGACAGTCAGGCAGATAGTCAGCCCATCTGTCATTCAGCTACAGTTTAGCTAGTCAATTTAATCTCGCAGCGTACTGGCCAGCTACCCAGCTGGTCAGTTGACCAGACTGTCAATCAGTAAGCTGGTTAGTAAATTAAGGACCGCAGGCAGGTATGAACTTATAACCATAGGGAACGAGAACACTCCTCGGTGCAGCCCATTAGCCACCCAGCAGTTTTTTGTCACACTTTTTCAAATCACACATCAACAATGAGATCCTACGGACGTTAT